GGGATCATCCCAGCCCGGGGATCATCCCACCCCGGGGATCACCGCAGCCCAGGACGGGGCCGCTCCTGCCCCACGCCCCGCGCGGGCTGTGTCGGCGGGTTCGGCTCTGTCCCCTCGGGCAAATCGCTCCATCTCCAAACCACCGCGACGTGGGCACTGTCACCTCCTCCCCCCTCCGCTCGCCTCTTGCCGGGCACCCCGGGAGGCACCAAGGGGAGCCCAAGGACGGTCCGGCCCCGGTACTACCAAAAAGTCTTAAACTAAGACCTGGATTAACTGTTGTCACTGCAGCTCAGGGCAGAGAGGCCGGAAAGGGACTCACTCGTTCATGCCGAGATCCACACACATCCCATCCTCCCAGAAATAAAAACCTTGGACTCGAGATCCGAACGGGACCTGGAGACCTTCTGTCCCAGACATTCCCCAGTCACTGTGCGTTCCCTCCCTGTGCTGCCCAGGAGCGCCGGGGATCCTCCTGACACCCCTCGGCCCTGTTTATAAATAAATCGGACCTGGTCTGACAGCCCCAAAGACTCCCCTGGTGACACTGGACATTGGCTACAGACCCCACCAGAGCTCCTACCCTCACTTTATCCCTCTTAACCCTTCCAGGTCGGTCACCCACCCCTCCCGGTAGCGGCTGCCGGATGAGCAAACCACATCACCAGGTCAGGGGGGGCTGAGAACCTGAATCCAAGGAGTGAAGCTGAAGCCATCAAGCCCTAACCCACCGCACGCAGACCCTGCCGGCACAGGACCCTGCTCCCCGGGGCGGGGGGCTCGGCCACACGTTGGTGTTCACTGCCGGTGGGTGACACGGGGTCCGGGTGGGTGCTGGTGGGCTGGCTGGACACGGAGGGGAGAGAAGGAGCCCGAGTAAAGGTGAGAAAACCTGCTCTGCAGCTTGTTGCCCCCCGCGGATGGGCATCGGCCAGGATGATCCCACTGACCTCAGTGGTGCCTCCCAGCTGGTGCCAGCAGAAGCACCGGAGTCCTCCCCAGCA